TAGATCATGGGGCTGTCCTGTCTTTATTATGGAATTGAAAAGCTTTAATTTCTACAAAAATGTAAGGTTTTGGGCCACAGCCTTATTAAAACAAACAAACGTGAGCACAGTGGAATATCTGGGGCCTAAACAACCTGCTACTTGGAAGTATAATCATCGTCTTTTTGTTCGTTTCTTTAGCCTGGTAGGACAATATCAGAACTTTCCTTGGTCATAGAGAATATAAAACATAGTTTGAACAAAAGAAGCAATAAAGCTACAAACTACTTTTTGGTGTATTTGCTTAAGTATAAGATAGCTGATCGGGGCTTTATCATGTAACATTAGTTTGCTTAGTTTTCATTAAGTTTGCTAAATTTGAATTGTGAATAAATATATGGCTGATTCATATTGTAATTAAACTGCACATTGACATAAACTGTGCATTGAAAGTTGCACATTGTCATCCAAAATAATACTTAGGTAAAACCAAAAATACGATAAACCAATGTCAAGGAACCTACCCTAAAATAAAAATACAGTTAACATGGAATCGCAAAACTAGAATGGGAGAAGCATTTACCCATAAGATCTTGTTTGGAACATTGATATAACACTAGAAAAGAATTTTTCTAAATAGCTGCAATGTTCAACTGTGACTGTGTGTCTGTGAAGATCAGGCATTCTGAATTATTGCCCTGTGCTGTGTGGCAGTGCAATTTTACAGAATGCGCTACAATAATTAATAAAATTCTCTAATGGGAAAATTTTGATGAGTAAGTATTTACACTATAAATATTTATATTATTAATATATTGGTGCTATTATTTCACAAAATAAAAAAGCTGTAATACACGTCTTTAAAAGCAAATAATAGCCTTACATTTCTAAATAAAGAAAAAATATAAATTTTGTGAAATATGGTTAGAGATCTGATAAGAATAAAACAAAATTGGGCGGGGCATACATTATATTATAGTTTGGGGTAGAGGTTTAAAAAAGTGGATGAAAATTTTAATGAGCCCTTTTTGCCTGCACTAAACTTAATCTTATAGGTGAACATTAATAGTATATATAGGGTACCTACTACTATCTAATTTACTTTTTACACAATGTATAAATCCTAGCCTATTGTTCTTAATGTCTGAACCTAAAATAACATACAAACATACAAGAGAACAAAATAAGGAAGGAATATATGAAAACAGTGACATTATCAAGATGGTGGAATGGGGGTCCCTACTTTTATATTCCCCTGCAGGAATAAAAACTAGTCAGCCATCCATCAACCAAAGTAACTTTATGAGAGAGCCAGGCACAGTGGCTCATGACAGTATCTCCTCCATTCAGGAGCCTGAGGCAGGAGGACTGCTATGAATCATATTTCTTATGCCAGACACAAAAATTGACTGAAAATAAAGATTTAAATTTAATACATAAATCCTTAAGAGAAAATCCTTAAAAAAGCATATGAAAAGCCTCCATGATACTGGCCTTGGCAATGATTTTTTAAAATATGATATCAAAAGTATAGCAATAAAAGCAAACACAAATTTGTAGTGTATCAAATTATTGTGCATGGCAAAAAATAAGAAAACCTTTAAGATGAGATAAAATATTTGCAAACCATAGATGATAAGAGGTTAGTATTCAAAATATAGCAGAAAGTTATACAAATCAGAAACAAAACAATAATAATTATAATACCTGTTTGGGTGAGGGAGAAAGGACAAGATGGAGGAAGGTGAACAAGAAGGCACAATCCATGTTGCTTCCGGGTTCTTCCTCACCAACTTTCCCGCGTGCGGGAAAATGCAGCCTGCGCCCAGGAAGATGCAGATCAACCGAGCATGCGCCAGGTGACGTCAATCCGTAGAGATTGAAACTTACCCGGCCACGCCTATGGAGACGCCCCTATCATGCCCTTATCCCGCCCACTGCCCTCCCCCTTCCAGTACCAACGCATAAAAGTCCGCTGCCGGCAGGAGCCAGCGTGACTTCTTCAGCCCCTCCTGCTTGTGGACCAGAGAACCTCACCCGAGAGCGCAGGCGTGACTTCCCTGGCCCCGTACCTGAGGACCGGAGAACCTCCCCCGATAGTGTGTGTATATTTGCAATAAAAGACTGCCGCTTTCTTATGTACTTTGGCCTCATGTTTAATTATTTAGCTCTCCTAAATTAAGTATTACATTAAGACAATTATTAAATTAAGACTAAAAAATGGGCAAAAGATTAAAAATTTTTAACAAATATGTACCAACAGGTGTGTAGAAAGCTGCTAAACATTACCATTCATCAGAAAATTGCAAATCAAACTCATAATGAGATAGCACTTTACAGCAGTTAGAATGGCTAATATCAAAAAGAAAAAAATATGACAAGTGTTAATAAGGATGTGACAAAATATTTCTGTACAGTCTTAATAAGTTGTTATCTGGAAGAGTCATTATGAAAATTAGCAGGAAAATGTGATATAAATAGACAACCAAATATTATTCACCCATAAACAAGAATGAAATTCTGCTCTTTCAACATGAATGGACCTGGGCACATTATGCTAAGCAAAATAAGCCAAGTGACAAACACTGTGTGTTCTCACTTAAATGGAGAATCTAAAAAGGCTGAACTCATAGAAGCAGAGAGTACAATGGTAATGACCAGGTCTGGAGGTAGAAAAAATGATAAGGTGTTTAAAGAGTACAAACTTCCAGTTTGTTCATCAACTTAATTGTATTAAACATTTTACAATATATACCTGTCAAATTATTATAATGTACACAATACATAATTATGCAATTTTTATTGATCAAAAAATTAATGTTATGTACACATGCATATAAACACATAAGTGTGTATATACAGGTATGTAAAACATATACATATATATCAATAACATATGTTGTTATGTATATTCTTGTGTGTGAATATATGTGTACACTCACATATATCAATGACACAGTCCTAGTAAGCTTCAAACTAAACAAGAGAAAATTATAAAATGATAACTATTTAAAAATCAGGAAACAAATGGGAATTTAATACATGCTCAGCAATGTTCTAAGTTCCTCAAAGGCAAAGTACATGTTTTAAATGTAGAAAGTAGATACATTAAACCATATTACAGTTTAGGAATTAGGGCACAGAGTGTTTACAGTATTGACCTCGATACATACCAAAAACTTAAAATTTTGAAGGAAAATAACATTAAGTTTTATTATATGGGGCAGATGCTTAGTGTTCTGATAAAGTTTTTGAGCAGGAATTTCTGTAGAATCACATTTGAAACCTCCGTAGGATATGAAATTGTAAAGCCGAAAACATGTGACATCTGGATGTGGTGTTTCCGGGATTTCTAAACCAAACCCCAGTATCTCCACTACTCTCACATATTTTAGACAAGACTCAAAATGGAAATTAGAAAATGCTTAAGATAGAGTTCCTTAAAAATCACAGACGGCCCCATGTCCTCAAAAGCAATAAAAGAGCGAGCAGCCAGGTCCTCCAGTCCCTTGCAAGCCATGCAAAGGGCTTTGATTTTCTTTGTAACCTGGAAGAATGATCGCCAAAGGGGAAGCCCAGTCCTAGAGATTGAAGAGCCTGGGGCAGAAGATGTCTGTCTCTACATGAGAGCAAGAGAAAGAAACCAGGGCTTCTCAGAAACCATTTGCATTGGAGCATAGCTTTCCAAACCACACTTTAAGATCTGGCTTTCTCCTTGACCTTTGGACATCTCATCTGTGTCATCTGCGTTATTCACTCCCACCTATTTGGATGTTTGACTCCTATCTCCTGTCTCCTCACACTCTGGGGCTTTTTCTTTTTCTCAAGATAGGTTATCAGGTTTAGCTTAGAGAACAGCCAAGGACTCTGTATTAGAAAAAGTAATATGACTTCTGCTGTGATTTTCCAATTGCTACTTAGTACTGTGCTCAGTGGAAAAAACAGAACACTATAAAAGAGTCTAAAAATTTAATACCAAATACTGTTTCCTCACAGAAACGTTATGATATTTAAAAACTTTTCTAAATTTGTGGGTCCTTAGCTCCATGACCCAGTCCTGCTGAATCAAAACTTGGTGGTGGTTGGCTGGGCATGGTGGCTCACACCTCTGATCCCAGCACTCTGAGAGGACAAGGTAGGCAAATCACTTAAGCCCAGGAGTCTGAGGCCAGCCTGGGCCGCAGGGCGAGACCTACTGGGGGGCGGCGGGGGAAGGTGGTGGTAATGGGAGGTGGTAATGCGATTATACGGTGTGGGCAACCATATTTTGTGCCTCTAAATTTCTGGAGTTACCACTAATCTGAAATTAAGGATATAGATCAGCTGAAGAAAGAAAAAGGTTTATGTCGAGATGAAGCCTCCTCGTGGGGGTCCGCAGCTGCAGCACCGCCAGGCAGCAGCATCCCACCTCCTCTGACCCCCCGCAGCCCCACCAGGAGCCCGGCTCCAACCCGGGCGGGAGGGGACCGACCCCGAAGGGCGCAGGCGTGGGTTCCCTGAGGTCCCGGGTGTCCTCCCGCTCCCCGGACGCCCGGGCAATTCAAACATTCATCCAGCGCCGCCGCCACTGTCCAAGCCGGGGAAGGGGCAGCGGGTCCCACAGACGCCAGCCAAGACCTGCGCTCCAGAACCGGCGGGCTGCTTTCCCGGGGGAAGGATATTGTCTTCGCCCGCCACGAGGAAATCCGTCCCTGTGCACCCGGCTTCCCATTGCCACCGACTTCGTGTGAACTGCAGTCCCGAGGACACGAAAGAGACCCAGGCCTCCGGCCATGGACGCGCTCGGCGCAACGGCTCCCGCCAGACGGACGGGCGCACTCTACAAATTTCGGGGTCCACCGCGGCAAGAGGGCAGGGAGAAGCCAACAAAGGAAGGACCCTGTGACACGCACCCCCAAAGCAACCGACGAATCCAAGAAAAAACGCGTCTCAGGGCTCCGTTGATTTTCCCGCATGGGGGGCCCAGCCCCCCCGTTCTAGCCCGGCCCAAGCACCCTCCACCCTACCCTGGCCGGCTCAAAGGGACGATGTCTACCCGAGCAGAGCCTCCTCCAAGGCTCTGTCGCTGTCGCTCTCCAGCGCCCTCACCCTCTCCCTTTCTCTCCTTCCCCCTCCACCTCGCGCTCTGCTGTCACCTTCTGTCTCGCTCACCCCCTCCCTCTCCCTCTCCGTTTCTCTCTCTCCATCCCCGTTTCTCTCTCTCCATCCCCGTCTCCCGTGCTCTCTTTCAAGCTGTGTCTGTGTCTTTGTCCGTGTGTCCGTGTGTCCGTGTGTGTCTGTGTGTGTCCGTGCGTGTGCGCCCGTGTGCGTCTGTGTGTGTCGGGGTGGGTTTGCTCGCGGTGGTGGGTGTGTCTGGGTGTCCGTCAGCCCCTCTTTCCCGGGATCAGGCTGCCGGGGCTCTAGTGCCAGCGCGGGGCAAAGCAGAGCCTTCCCGCCCCGTCGGCCACGGCCGGGTCCTCGTCGGGACAAGCGGCAACGGTGTGGGCTTTGGGAGAAAAAGGGCCCGCGGGGCTGGGCCGGCTGTTCGCCCCTGGGCGGCCCTGGAGGCTCTGGGTGGGTGGGGCAAGAGGGGGCCTTGCAGGAGGGGCGGCGAGGGAACCAAAACAATGTTTCCGCGGCAAGGCGGAGCACCGGAGGGGATCCCAGGACCGCGAGCCCCGGGCCCTGACACCCCGTCCTGAGCCGGCCCGATGTGTTGGAAGATCCGGAGCTGAGAGTCGGGGAAGGCCTGGAGCGTCTGCGAAAGGGAGGCCGCCCGGAGAGCCCGGAGCCTGGGCAGGAGATGGAGGCATCACGGCCTGACAAGGGATTCCTGTTTCCTGCAACATGGGGAGTCTCCACTGTGGCCGGTTTGGAAACTGGAAAGGAGAGCGCGGACACGGTGCTGCTTTTCCACGCTTCCCTGGAGGTTTCTGGGTCCCCACAGAGCTCGGGAAACGAACAGTCAACATAATCTCGCTTTCGGGGGCCAGAGACACGTGGGCAACAGGCCCCCTTGCAGAGGGCAACGGAACGTGGAACCCGAACCCACGAAGCCACGTTTCAGTCGGCCTGAGAGCGACTCCTGTGTGGACGGGACTATCTACCTCGCGCTCTGTTGCAAGCCCAGTCTGGGGCTACGTCATCTGTGAACCATGTGGATGGAAGACGGACGACCACCGGAGTCTCGGCTCATTGCTCTCTGGGCAATTCGCTCATTCCTTGAGAGACGGAATCGTCTGAATTGCTCCAGGATGAAGTGACCCGGGCTGGCGATCAGGGGGGCCGGTGAGCGCCCTGCAGGCCGACGCGGCGACACTCAGCCCGCACTGGGCACCCGACATTTTCCCGGAGTGCAAGGTCCTGCCGGTCCTGGAGGCAGAAGACGGCTTTTCTCTCTCTGCCTTCCTCTCTCTGTCTCTTGCTCCCTCCCTCCGTGTTTCCCTCCGTCCCTCCCTCAGTTCCTCCCTCCGTCCCTCTATCCCTCCGTCCCGTCTCAGGTCCCTCCGTCCATCCGTTCTTTCCTCCCTCCATCGCTCCCTCCCTGTCTCCGTTCCTCTCCCCATCTCTGCCTGCGTTCCCTCCCGCGTAGAAAGGGCAGCACCCCGGTTTGCGCGGGGTCTCGGGTCTGCATTTAGCTGTCAGGCTCTCCAAGGTGATGCACAGGTAGGCGAGTGACGGTGGCCGGGGCAGGCAGAGGTGGCGAGACACGGAAAGGAGAGCAGGCCTGGCGGCTGTCCGGGCCAGTGTTTCCCGGGATGGAGGTCTCCGCCCAACCCACTGAAGAACGCGGGGCGGGCCGGGGAGATGCGATGAAAGCTCCGCCTGGGCGGGTCCCAAAGCCTAGCCGGCTGCCTGCAAACCCGCGCATGAGCAGTAGACAGTCCACCTCCCGGTACCTGGCGGGCTCTGGGATCCCCGGGATGCTCAGGAAAGAATGACAGCCCTCCTCTGAGTAGAGTCTCTCGCCGGACCTGGAACTCAGGGATCCTAGACAGGTCAGCTGGAAGGAAAGAGACGCCTCTCCATACCCAGCCAGAGGTTCACTACGAACGAGAGGCCGCAGCCCTGCCCTCACCCCGTCCCAACCCCGCGTCCTAAAGCTCCTCCAGCAGAGCCGGGAGTTCCTCCTGGTTGAGGGGTGGTTCCAGCGGAGCGGGCTGTTCCATGTCCTTCAGCTCCCCCAGTGGCGCCGGATCTAGGAAAGGTTGTGCATTTTGCTGAAACTCTGCGACAGGAACTCATCTAACAGGCTGGAGGGGAGTGAGGGGAGTGCAGACTAGCGCTGAGGCTCTTGGAGCGGTTGGGAGGGCGCCCGGATGGCTTGCATCTGTGCTTGACGCGGAGGCCTCCGGGGTCGCGGGCTCCGGAGGTGGAGCTGCCCCGTCTTCGGGTTCCCACGCCGCCCTGGCGACCTAGGGCTCCAGCCCCACCAGCGATTCCGCTGGGACGTGGGTGGCGCCAGCACACCTTGGTCTGTGACTCAGCTCGAGCGGACCCAGGCTGTCCCACTGAGCACGCGCCCAGCAGGCTGCTGTGCTGCGGGTCCTGGTCTTCCTGTCATTTGTTGGGGTGCGGAGGCCACCGAGGAGTCGGAGGGTGGGAGAACCCCACTTCCACAGCAGCCAGGGCAGCATACGCAAAACCCCCGCGTGCCGGGGCAGGTTGGAAGATTCCTTCTGCCTGCGCAGCCTGGCTGGGCGACAGCCCCTGCTCCCTGGCTCACGAAAGCCCCCTGTGGGAGAGCCCCAGGCGCGCAGGGCATGTGGGGTGCGGGAAGCCCCGTTCCCCACGCCCCGGTGTGGGTGAACTCGATAGAGGAGGAAGGAGGGTGACACCTGTTGGGGTGTCAATTAATAACCACAGTGGCCTCAAAGAGCTCAAATGAAAGGAAGAATTGCACGTCTCTCACTTTAAGTCCAGAGCTAGAAATGATTAAGCTTAGTGAAGATGTAGCATTTTCATCGCTAGAGAGAAGTCAACGCTTGGCTTCAAAACTTCAAAGGATGGGCAGAGCGCATGGCTCACGCCTGTAATCCCAGCACTTTGGGAGGCCGAGGTGGGCGATCATGAGGTCAGGAGATGGAGACCATCCTGGCTAACACGGTGAAACCCCGTCTCTACTAAAAATATTTTTAAAAATTAGCCGGGCGTGGTGGCGGCGCCTGTAGTCCCAGCTACTCTAGACGCCGAGGCAGGAGAAAGGCGTGAACCCTGGAGGCGGAGTTTGCAGTGAGCCGAGATCGCGCACTGCACTCCAGCCTGGGCGACAGAGCGAGACTAAGAACAAAAAGAAAAAAAGAAGAAAAGAAACGAAAAAAGGAAAAAGATTGCTGCTTATTGACAATTCACCTAGCTACCCAGAAGCTTAGATGGAGATGTACTTGGAAATTAATGTTATTTTCATGGCTGCTAATACAACATCTACCCTTCAGCCTGTGGATCAAGGAGTGGATCAAGGAGTGGTTTTGACTTTCAGGTCTTAGTATTAAATAATAAATGCATTTTGTAAAGGTGTAGCTGTCACAGACAGTGATTTCTTTGATGAATCTGGATAAACTTAATTGAAAACCTTTTGGAAAGGATTCACCGTTAATCCTTTCATGATATTTCAGCCTCCTCCCGTGAATCACAAATGTCCTTAATAGCAATCCTTAAATGCCATTAAGGACATTTGTGATTGATGGGAGGAGGTTGAAATATCAACATTAACAGGAGTTTGGAAGAAGTTGATTCCAGCCCTCCTGGATGACTTTGAGGGCTCAGGATGTCAGTGGAGGAAGTCCCTGCAGAGGCGGTAGAAATCGCAAGACTAGAATTAGAATTAGAACCTTAAGATGAGATGAAATTGCTGTAAACTCATGATAAAACTTGAACAAATGGGGAGTTGCTTCTTATGGATAAGAAAAGAAAATATTTTCTTGAGATGGAACCTACTCCAAGTGGAGATGCTATGAACATTGCTGAAATGACAGCAAAGGATTTAGGATATTCCATAAACCTGGTTGAGAAAGCAGCAGCAGGGTTCGAGAGGGTTGACTCCAGTTTTGAAGGAAGTTCTACTGTGGATGAAATGCTGTCAAACAGCATCATATGCTACAGGGAAATCTTTTGTAAAAGGAACGAACTTCATTGTTTTATTTTAAGAAATTGACACGGCCAATTTCTTAAGAAATTGTTTTATTTTAAGAAATTGACACGGGCAACCTTCAGCAACTCCCACACTGATCAGCCAGCAGCCGTCAATACAGAGGCAAGATCCCCACCAGCAAAAACATTATGACTTGGTAAGGCTCAGATATTCATTAGTATTTTTTAGCAATTAGGTATTTTAAGTTATGTGCATACTTTTTAGACATGCTATTAATTACTAATTAATTAATAATTATTAGTCATTAGACGACAATATAGTTTAAGCATAACTTTTATAAGCACTGGGAAATAAAATGTTTGTGCGACTAACTTGATTGTAAGATTTGCCTTATTGCAGTGGTCTGGAATCAAACCAACACTGTCTCTGTGGGGTGCTTGTAGGTTTTTGGTTGTAACATTTGACTTATTGCAGTGGTCTGGAACCAAACCCACACTATCTCTGAGGGGTGCTTGTAGGTTTTTGGTTGTTCTTTGTTTTGAGATGGGGTTTTGCTCTGTCGCCCAGGCCAGAGTGCAGTGGCGTGATCATAACACACTGCACTCTCAAACTGCTGGGTCAAGTGACTTTTCTACCACAGCCTCCGGAGTAACTGGGACTACACACATGCAGCACTATGCCTGGCTATTTTTTTTAATCATTTTTTTTTTAGAGATGGGGTCTCACTATGTTGCCCCGCTGGTCTTGAACTCCTGGGCTCAAGCAACCCAGTCACTTCAACCTCCCAAAGTGCAGCCATTACAGGCTTGAGCCACCGCACCCAGCTTGTCTGCAGTTTTTAAAAGAAAAACGGCCAGGCGCGGTGGCTCACGCCTGTAATCCCAGCACTTTGGGAGGCTGAGGCAGATGGATCACGAGGTCAGGAGTTCGAGACCAGCCTGGCCAAGATGGTGAACCCAGTCTCTACTAACCTGGGCACAGTGGTGGGCACCTGTAGATCCAGCTACTCGGAAGCTGAGGCAGGAGAATCGCTTGAACCCAGGAGGCAGATGTTGCAGTGAGCCGAGATCATGCCACTGCACTCCAGCCTGGCAACAGAGCAAGACTCCATCAGAAAAACGAAAAACAAAAAACAAAACAACAAAAAAACACCGTAATTTAAAAGATTAAAAGTTAAGGTAGATTTTTACAAATGTATGTCTACCATTATAGTATCATACAGAATGGTTTTACTGCCGTGAAGATTCTCTGTGCTCTGTGTTTCCTTGTCTTCCTTCCCCTTGGTTCATGGCAACCACTGATGTTTCCACTGTTCCCACAGTTTCACCGTTTCTGGAACGTCATATAATTGGAATCGAACAGTATGTAGACTTTTCGGATTGGCTTCTTCTCTTAGCAATATGCATTTAAGTTCCCTCCTTATATTGTTTTGTGGCTTGACAGATCATCTCCTGTTAGCAGTGAGTAATATCCTGTCACCATTATACTTTTGTTAAGACTCAGAACATACAATGTGAAGAGGAAACGTGAATGTGCTCTGTAAGCTTTGAGCGACAATGAAGGGTCAAGGTAGGTCCTGGTTGTCACAGGTGCGCTGTGTGAGGCAGGAAGCTGTGGTGGGGAGGCTGTGTGTGGGGAAAGGGACATATGGGAAGTCTGTACTCTCTGCTCTGTTTAGCTGTGAACCTACACTTCTCTAAAAATAAAATTAAAATTAAAAGCAAAAAATTAGAAAAATTAAAACATTACAATATGTCATATAGTTTTCAAATCGCAAGACAGAAAAAGATGTAATAAAATAAAGTATAGAAAACAACAAGGATAGGAATAAAACATCAGTGACAGAAGGCAGAAGACAGAAACGTGGAGCCAAACACATTAATTTATTTTAATCACTAGTTACATTCATTTATACTAATTTATATTAAACGTATTCAAAGAAAAAGGCAACCAATGTAGACTGACCTCAAGATGATCCAGATGTTGGAATTAGTGTGGATTTTTAAAGTAGTTATTATAATTCTTACTAAAATCAAAACCCCAAAAACCCTTATAATAAATGGATAGGAAATCATAGCAGAGAAGAAAAACTACAATAACAAAGGCTCAAGTGGAAATTCTAGAAGTGAAAGTTTTCCAAGTTAAAAAATAATAATCAGTTGTCTTCAGGAGCAGCTTGGAGGTGGTAAACAGTCAATGAACCTAAAATACAATTGAAATTATTCAATCTGAAAAATGTGAGCAGTCATAGGTTGGAGTGTGGGAGCTTTTCCTTTGGTTAGTGCTTTTAGGTAATCTTGGTTTTGATATGATTACTAGCCTGATCTGTCAGGGGCTAAGCCAGAGTTTATCTTGGTTTCAGTACTGCTTTAAACAAAACTCATGATATCCTTGTGTTCAAGATGGAAGAAGAGTGGACCAGATAACAATATTTCGATGCAGTCATTCTTAACCTCTGTTGCTCTCCCAGCGGTCTAGCTGGGGTTTGTATAAAGCAGAATGGGAGAAACAGGGATGGAGACCCCACCTACCCTCTCCATTTGTCCACTTGTCCTCCTTCACTAGTGGATAAAGTCCGCGGGAATAGGCAATGTATTATTTTAAATCTGTATCTTCTGTTGTCAAGATCTGTAATTAGTTCTGCTCGCTGGACTGGGGTCAGGAACCGAGGGAACATGAGGGTGAACGAGGTGACATGGAGTCCAAGAACACACTGTGCCTGCAAGCAGAATGTTTGTGCCAGGAAAATCAGTCAGCAGGCAGATGGTCTCAGATACCAAGTGGGAGGCAAGATTCAGTCTCGTGAAGGCAGTGATCCTCAATGTGTACTTCGTATCACTTGCTTCGGAATGACCTGGAGTACTTGTTCACATGCAAATGTGGAGCCCAGTCCTAGACCTGCTAAGCCTGCATCTCCATGGATGGGTCTCAGCAGTCGACATTGGAGACCTGCTAAGCCTGCATCTCCACGGATGGTCTGGGCAGTTGACACTGGAGACCTGCTAAGCCTGCGTCTCCACAGATGGGTCTCAGCAGTTGACATTGGAAACGTGCAGGTCCCTCGGAGACGCTTATGCAGATAAATTTGAACTGTTGTTTCAGGGTTAGGGAGCTGGCAAAAGCAAGGAATAGATCAAACTCTTGGGTGGGAAGGCTGCATAACCTTGGCACTATTAGCGTTCTGGGTGGAACAGGATTTTGCCACATGCTTCGCAGCATCCTTAGCCTCTACCCTCTAACACCGTATCCCAGATGTGAAAACCAAAAATGTCCCCTGGGAGGCAAAATAGTCACCAGTTGGGAACAGGAACCACCACTTTGCGAGATCAGAGTAGTTACTTTGTTCCCAATCCAAGGATCAGAACCCAAGATGAGACAAAGTGCAGCTATCGGAACTGGAGGGCCAAGCTGGAGCTAGACCTACAACAAACGCTCCAAAAGCTCCTTTCTAGGCCTGATCCCGTGCCTCAGCTACCGAGCTTGTACAGATGCCATGTAACTCTAGATGTGGTGACTGATGGAACTGAAAGGCTAGAACTAGATAGGGTCTTTAAGGATAGGCCAGCACACAACGTGGACTTTTGACAACATCCAGATCCTTGAACCAACCTGAGGCAGAATTTCCCGTGACATCTGATCCACAGCCTGGATGTGGAGCACTCACTGGAATTAGATGCCATGGGAATATTGTGTTTAGGAACTCTGAAAGAGACAGGCTTCAACAAAGCAGACCTAAGCAACACTTAGCGTTTGAACTTCTTCAGCTTCCATTCCAGCCCACAAGGACAAAAGCATCCCATACATATCCACTGTGGCCAACCCGTCCTCAGTAGGGAGTTTCCCCAGCACTACTCTCCCCTCTGTTCTGAGCCTACTTGCTCTTTTGTAATGTTTCCACTTTCGGTCCCACTCCCTAACAGATGATTTGTCCTCTCCGCCCGGCCCCCTAGTTCTGACATTTGGACTGTCTGTGATCTGGGTAGTACTTCCGAGGCAGAATCAAAGCCTTGTTGATTGGATTGGGAATTTCTAACTTCCTATTAAAGGCACTGATCAGGCATCTATTGTATAAAGTAAAGTAAGATTATGATCCAGTAAGACAGATTCCACAAGCAGTGCAGGAAGAATTGGTTTCTAGTACACTGCATGCTTCAGGACAGGAAATCCTGAAAAAAATTCTGTGGTACATTAGGTGTGTACTATAGGTTTCATTTCCATGCGAAAAATTCTAGTTAGCTAAAAAGTACATCCATGAAGAATCTTGATTAAGCTTGTTTAATCCTGGTTAAACTAGTTACTAGTTAAACAATAATTTCACAACAACTCAAGAACTCTTTAAAAGCATTTCCTCTGAATATTTTATTCAGAAAAAAACACAAAAAGATAAAGCAGAAACAAAAATTCCAGTCATTTGCAGTATCTGTCGGCTTTCAATTTGGCTCTCCTGTTTAAGCAAAGAAAAGTAATAAAATTAATCTGTGTAAAGCATGCCATATATATTCAACTGCTGCTAAATATAAAAAGCTTTAAAACTGTGTGGTCAATTTTGGTTATTATATTACCACAACACTTATATTAAAATATGTATACTTTTAAATTTGGTTTCTATAAAAAATGGATTCTAATCTTGTAACAGTTATTTCCTAACAGTCAATAAACGTTGCCTAAGGGTTTTTTCAATCCACAATAGCAATTTTAATTATTCTGGAATTTAAGAGTGCTCTAAATTTCTATTCAACATGGTGAGAATGCTGTCATATTAGAAGTGATAAAAGTTACAGGACACAGAGCTTATTCCGTTTTAGAGTCCACATCCTGATTGTATTTTATATCCTCTTCTTGATTTCTTCCATCTAGATACGTATTCATTTGCTCAGCTGGAAAAAATTCTTAACATTATGTACTGACTTTAGGTATGAACTCTACCAGCTAGTTAACAGGAAATATGTAATTAAACATTGCCTTATCAAGAAATGTAAAAAAAGGTAAGAGTAACTTTGCAACATAGGACTTCAATGAGCGGCTGGTGATTATCAAAATCTGGCACTTAATTGATTTATACTTGGACACTCACAGATAAACGTCTCTGCCTGTTTTCCTACGTTGTAAATCTAGGACCTTACTTACCCACATCGGAAGAGTAATAAATATTAATAATGTGCTATGATAAACATCCTGCACTCTTCCAAATCTTACAATAAAACTGCTTCAATTTCACTTGTTTAGCTTTTAAATTTTTAGCTGATCTATTCTTATTTTAAGGAACCTGAACTACTCTAACAGAATCCACATAATTTTTACATTAGTCAAACTGCTTCTTTCTAACTCTGGTTCCAACAGTTATAAAAAGATAATGATAAATTTATGAAGTAGATACAGTCAAACCTGAATTTCTTAAAGTATATACTTAGAATCGGTTATAATTTTTAGATATTCTTTCTTGACAGTCTTTTCCCAAACTTATGATGTCCTCTCTAAGTAATATTGCCACATTCATAAATTAGAAATAAAGACAAAAATGTGAAAACTATAGTAATTTAAGAGAACATAGGTTTTCTACATGCCATTTCTATTGGCTACTGAAAATAGTGGAAATAAGTAAATAAAGAGCTACCTGTCCAGAAGCGTCTCATGCAAAAATCCATCTTTCCGAGCCTTTTTAAGAATTTTACTGTCTTCTTTACTTATTTTAAGTTTGTGGTCTTGGAAGCTCTGAAATTTCTTTCTGCAAAGAAAATGTCTTCATTGAAAAATACCTCAAACTCTGATTATACATATTTACTGTTACATTTATAAATACTGTTAATTTCTTTTTCACTTATTAAAAAAGTCTAATTGTAGGCCAGGGGCAGTGGCTCATGCCTGCCATCCCAGCACTTTGGGAGGCCAAGGGAGGCAGATCCCTTGAGGTCAGGAGTTTGATAACAGCCTGTTCAACATGGTGAAACCCCATCTCTACTAAAAATATAAAAATTAGCTGAGCATAGTGGCACGTGCCTGTAGTCCCAGTTACTCAGGAGGCTGAGGCAGGAGAATCACATGAACCTGGGAGGCGAAGGCTGCGATGAGCCGAGATCACGCCACTGCACTCCAGTCTGGGCAACAGAGCGAGACTCCTCTTGGGGAAGGGGGGAAAAAAAAGTCTAATTGTATTTTTTTAATAAGCTGGAGCTTCTCAACCACAAAGATGACCTCCATGACCCCTCAAAAGGAGGGCCGCTCATTGACTGGGAAGAACCACAAGGCCCCACTTCTATTAGGGCATGCCGGCTGGAGTCCTCTGTGTCCTGGCCATAGCACAGCCTTTGACTGGCATCACACCCGTTCTGTGAATGAACAGGGAGACGGACTAACCTGCATGACATTAGCTTTGAGAGCTGGTATGATGATTAGGAAAATTGAAGCCTTGAGAACAGCATTGAGCTCAGGGCTCTGTCCCAGAGGCTACATTGCGTTGCCTCTTCTTGTCCATCAGTTTTAATTTAATTTTGTCAGAGAGGGTCTTGCTCCGTCACCCAGGCTGGAATGCAGTGGTTATCAGAGCTCACTGCAGCCTTGGACTCCTGGGCTCAAACAATCCTCCTGTCTCAGCCTCCCGAATAGCTTGGCCTATAGGCATGCACCACCATCCCCGACTAATTAGGTAATTTATTTTGAAAGCACTTTGAGAAGCACTTCACTGTCAAATCTGTAGGTCTAAAAGGAAAAGAACACATACACATAATTGATTTCACACTGTTTTACATTTCCTTTGTCTTCTTCTGGAATGTCATCTTTTTTCTTGGTTTCTCTTTCAGCACAGGATCTAATCTAGATATTGAACAAGAGAATCCAATGGGTTATATGTTTATATTCCACCCTCCCCACTTTACGTATCACGTAAGAACATTCGAGATGACTTCTTATGCAGAAGGAAAAATTAACTGATCAGCTATATTCAGAAAAAGGCAGGTTTTGGCTATGTGTTTTTACTTCATATATATATATATAATCTATATGAGTAACTGCTACCACGTGCTTCCTCCGCAGCCCTTGGGTCAGAAACACTACAGACAAAATTATTTCAAAAACATTTTACACATCAGATCCTGCTAGGCAATAAAGCAATCATTAACTAATTTAATTTTGTCCTCCAAGTGAACACACTAGGATCAAATTATCCCTAGTAGACAAGTATTCATTTGATCAGACTGAAAGCTTAAGATCACTATTTTACGTCTCACAGACTATTACCAAATGTATTAAAACTTTTAACATTACACAATAACTTGTTTTTAATTAATTGGAACCTACCTCTATTACTAACTTCTTATATCCTCCAAAGTTTGGATAGATATTTACTATCACATGTCATAAGTTAACTGATCTGCATTCAACAATTAGGATCACCCACAGAACAGGCAATTGGCAGTGGTAAGGACTCATGTCTCCTAAGGATCTCTGTGGCCAGAGTCCAATTCCAGGACTGCTTAGAAAGTGATAACAAACAACGTGTTTGTGCCAATGACATCTTTGTGACAGTTTTGATTAGAGGGTCCCAGAAGACCTGAAAACATTCCCTGCTAGGGCCTGTAACACAATGCTGCCTTTAGTAAGAGGGATCTGTGTTCAGATAGATAAGGTAGATAAGGCAAGGTCATAAAGGTGAATGGCTGACAGAGATTAGGAGAGCCTGCAATTAAATGGTAAAGGAAAAGAGTCCTAAATAATCACTGTTCAGAGCTTCCAGGTACTTGACTAACCAGAGACCCAGAGAACTTTGCATTTCATCTGAAAACTGCTTTAAATAGTGAAACACACAATCTTTGTATAAGTATCTTTGTCTCTTTGTATAAGTGCAAAGCACTGCACATATATTTGCAATTGTTGCCTTCAGTAACACTTTTGTGATAATATCCAGATGAAAAATAAATATGATACAATAAAATATAAATAAATAAAATTAAAGGTAAGTCACAAACCCATCTGCATTTCCCCAATGACCTGTTCCCTGAGAAGCAATGTGCTATGAAATATTGAGTAGCTTAGGAGTGTTGGGGTCCGCGTGTTTCCTAAACAAAGGAATGAACACACAAGACAACACAAGACAAGACAAACATGGCGGCTGCCTCGAATGGCGCACTCTGCTTTATTTTATACAGTCATTTGTGGAATGTTGCCAAGTCACAAGACACATTGTTGTTTTTCTGACCTTTCCCTGACTTTCTGGATTTTCAAGATGTTTACACATAAACAAGCCCCCAGGGTCTGCTGTTACCAGCTGGCTCCTTTGTCCTCCCAGTTTGCAGGGAAGGAATGCCCTGCTTCGTTTGCAAGAGCAGGACTTATCAGGAATGCCTCGTTTGGGAGCATAGTCCTCTACATAGGAGTCAGCTGGGCCTGGGTACACATCCTGTCTTTACCACACCCTGAAATCGCTATGTGATTTCCATGAACTGACTGACAAACACCACAAGGATATAAGGAGGGTCAGAGGCTGTCTTCCTGTCTGTAAGGCTGAGCTCACATCCACCTCACAGGAGCATTATGGAGATTCGAGACTACAACGCATGTGCCAGGTATATGCAATGAAAAAATATAACTAACATTTCACTTCTCTAATAATAATATCTACATTTTAGATTGAAATTGTTTGAGCTTTAGATTTGAAATTATTTGAAATCAAGACTATTGTAAAAAGAAATCAAACATATGACCGGAAATCTAACATGAAGCACGTACAGACATTTGACAGATGCTTTTAAATTACACTGGTAGTAGAGAAAAAAGTAACATAAATTTTTATGCTCTAAGAACGAAGGGCATTTTAGAAAAGGCATCTCCCCCATCTCTTAGAGCCTTCCACTCCGGCCCCCACAATGCGTCACAGAGCAAATCTGGGTCAGACTAGATGCAACCTGTGATTCCCGACAGAGACAGACAAAGCAAGGTTCAGGACGCTCACTACCGGGAAGGAATGCCAAGGAACAGAAAAACCATGTGTCAAGAAGGAGGGAGTTATTCTTTAGATACATATATGTTTATCATTAAAGATCACTGGCTTTTGCTGAGTCTAAAAAATTAAGCCTTAAATGTTTTCATCAAATTCCAGCTAACTACCTGATTTATCTAGGTTATATTAACAGTATTATTTAGAATTTCACCTTGATATGAAGATGTCTGTGTAACTTTTACAATGATATAAAACAAAGAGTAGGATTAGGGAGGAAACAGGCCAGTGCCTGGTGCAATGGATAACACATCTGACTACAGATGAGGGAATTTAGCCTGGAATAAGGAACTTTTATTTCCAGCTTACTGACACATACAAATTGTAAAAATAAAATGAAAATCATGTTTTATGTGATTCATGTTTTTCCTAATGCAAAGAAGACTGGTACTATTAATAAAAATATTTTTAAAATGTGAGGGCTAAAGCCCCAGAGGTTCTGCTATGATTTTTTATGTTTCATAGAGTGATTTTCATCACGGAAGCTCAAGCATTACGTAAATACAAATGCATATACCCCTGACCTGGTAATTCTGCTTCTGGAAATTTATCTTCAGGTCCACCCGCACATCTACAAGTGGATGCATATTCAATGTTTTGTACTGCAGCACTGTGTATATGAGCAAAAGACTGGAAACAGCCTAAATTTCCATCTATAAGAGACTAAACAAATTAAGGTACATCCCTAAAATGAATATTATGTGGCTGTTAAAAAAGAGAGAGAAAGAAAGGAAAAGCAAGAAAAAGAGAAAACTTTCTACGTTCAAACTAATAGTAGAAAACTCTCCAAGACACAGTTTTAAGGAAAAAAAAATCAAAGTCTAGAAGACTATAGAGGAGGCAAACTTTAGTGTAAAACAGTTGAAAATTATAAACATATTCATGTGTTCATAAAGAAATTTTAGGAGGCTATAAAAAAACAAAACAAAGGGAAAGAGATAGGAATCGGAGCTGGGACACAGGTGAGTAAGACGTATGGCAGGCAGATGTCTTCATATGTTTTTATTTAAAAATGTTGAACCACGTGTACATATTATCTATTTTAAAAATTAGATTTTAAAATACAAGCAAGAAAACAAGAAAATGAAAGCCTAAAAAGATCATGTAGAACTACTCAAAAAAAGATAGTAATCCATGGAGATAACGGCAAGGTAGCTCCTAGATGCACTGATTTCTCTATCACATTGTATAAACAAGCCACCAATTATGGGATTTATAATAAAAAATGAGTCCATTTGAAACACCACATTATAAAAAGCTATTAACTAAATCTTTAAAGTGACAGTAAATGATGATTTAACATTTTAAAGAGATAGTCACATTGCATGTGTGAATGTGGTCATCTGTATAAAATGTCATAATTACCTTGATCATTTCTTCTTCTCCTGCTGTCTTACTTTTTGCTTCTATGTCCCCAGCTTCATTGCATCTAATAAAGCAGCTATTTGAAGCCAATAAAGCCATTTTCCCCTAAGTGAAACAAAATAACAAAATAGAGAGTCATGAGGATACTTCTTGTAGAAGAAACGTTGTGTTTAGATTGAATTAATTTTTCCTCCCTGATTTAAAAATCACAGAAAAGAACTTAGAGAAAACCTGAAAAATATAATACAAGAACATGCAGAAAAGGAAACCAAAATCACCTATTATTTTACTATTCAAATATTACCACAATAAACATTCTTAGTGTATCTTCCTAGTAGGACTAAAATCTAATTAGATGAAGTAGGATTGCTTCCTTTCTAAAACATCTACGGTGATAAAACTGATTTAGTTCAGTTTGAAAAATTGACTTTAAAGACAAGAACATAATTATGAATGCACACTTTATTCAAATATTAGCATTTTAAGTAAAATTTATTTTACTCACAATTAGAAAACACGAAAAGGCATATACAATGCCTTTAGTGTTTTGAATTTAAGAATCAATGTCTGAGGGGCTTTTGTGTGTGAAAATAAATATTCATATGCTTTTTTAGTTGTTTAATGTTTGATGTATTACACTGCTTCCTATTAAACAAAACTTTAAAAACTGATCTTGTGTATCTAAATCTGGGTTATAAATTTGGTTAGCTTGATTCCCTTAACAAATGTAATGTTTATTTATAACTTGTATTTGGTTGATTCTTTTGGAAAACTTGGAATACCATAACATTTAGACAAAATATTTACAAATACAATGATTATAAAATATGTATATATTTAATATAACTATATATATATAATATGTGATTTAACTTATATCACATCCAGTTAAAAAGTGCTGGTAACATGGATTTAATTTCTTGGTCAAGGTCGCAAGGGCTGGTGGTCTCTCATCTGGATGGCGCCTGCTGAGCCCTGGAACATGTTGCTGTGGTCCAAGGCGATTTAAACCTGTGCCACAGATTATTCACCTGAGTCTTTTTGCAATAGAATTTTAAGACCCTCTTTCATTTAAATTTCTGAAACTTAGTGTCCTTCCTAAAAATAAAATGAAATGAACTTTCCTAAAGTGTTGTATTATTAGAACTATCTCGCTCATCATCCTGGCCTTATGATATATTGGCCTTTTCTACTGGTGTAACTTTTATTAGAAGTATCTCATCATAACTAGTAGGATCATCTCAAAGGGATTGCAACACATTAGTGGGTCATGAAATCAATGTAGTGGTTCCTGAATGGTATTAGGGGGAAAAAGAAAAGGGAATACACACAGACACACAGAGGAAGGGGTAAAAGAGAATAAGAAATATCAAGCTGCGTAACACATGAACAAGTATTGTTAAGTACAACTCTTGCTTCAGTTATACATATGTGTGTGCTGGGCTGCGATGTAAAAATGTATTTCTCAATGGGTTGGGTCAAAATAGTTTTCAAGTCACTGACTTAAGATTTTATCCCAGGGGATGAGGAAATTAGTCTAAGTGATTACCTCTTTCTGGGGGGATGTCTGTTTAATTTGTCGTCTTAGAAAACACTGCTGAGTTCCTGTTTTCAGTTCCTGATTGTATACCACAAAGCGCTACTCAAAGGCTGAGCTTATCTTCCACTTGTTTGTGCCCACTGGTCCTTACTGGTTTTCATATAGTTACCTACTTTTTAAAGACTGTTTAGCACTCACATACTTTTGTTCAATCTTTACTTCTCACACAAACAGAGAAAGGAAATTATGTATTCTGTACCAACAAAGATTTAACAAAACATCCATATACTACAACTGTCTACTTACTAAAATTAAGAATTAGTATATTATCTTTTTTCTCCTTTTATATTAAAACTATCTTTTTGTACACTATTTGAAGCTTATGAACTGAAAGTCCTTTAGAGATAATTTACTTCAATGAACTATTATTTATTTTATGCACAAATTGTCACAACTTGGTCTTAGCTTGCTCCAGTGTTTGCTTACAGTCTCTAATGTTTCTGAAAGCATCCATGATTTCTGCTACAAAGAAGATACTTAGGAACTATTCTGTTTTCCTACTCTGAGACTTAAAATTGACTGGTTCTTTAACGGAAATGAGATCTGTATCTAGGCAGTAGGGTACAGAGAAACAACTGTGGGCAAAAGTACTAATGCTGTTTTTGTTGCACTATATTTTGAGATCTCTTTAAGGCTCTATGTTCCTATTGATTGACTCCAATTTAATGTATTATACTATTGCATCCTACTTTTTCTTTTTAAATATATTATGATTGTTACAGACTTTCTGTTACACTGACAGGAAGTTTTTATAAACAGTAACAGCACTTACATTTTGAAAGACTGGTTCCCATTGTTCTCTTGGTCCAATTGCATCTGAACGCCCAACAACAAGCCCATCTGAATTGATACCAAGATACTTTCCATAGCCAGATTTCAGGGCAATTCTGTACATTAAGAAGATAGATAAAAGTTAAAAACTGAGAGGAAATTAATTATAGAACATCAAAACAGGACATGTGTATGTGTGTGGGTGTGTACATATCTAAACTTTCAGGCTGGATACATCCCAAGTGTTCAAAAGCTGCATGTGGCTGAGTGGTGACTCACTCCTGTAATCTCTGTGCTTTGGGAAGCCAATGGGAGAACTGCTTGAGGCAAGAAGTTCAAGATCAGCCTGGACAACACAGTGAGACCCTATCTCTACAAAAAATTTAAAAAATTAGCTGGGCATGCTGGCGTGCACAGCTACTGGGGAGGCTGACACAGGAGGGTTGCTTGAGTACAGAAATTTGAGGTTACAGTGAGCTATGATCACACCAATGCACTCCAATCTGGGTGACAAAGAGAGACTGTGCCTTAGAAAAAAAAAAAAAAAAAAGCTACATGTGACTAGTTGCTGCCATATTGGACAGTGCAGTTTTAAATTTACAGTTTTGTATTTTGCTTTTTAAATATAAACATTATACTTACATATTACATAACAAATATTTTCCAAATTCATCATTCTTCACTTATACTTCTTTAGTCATAAAGTTCAACAATAAATTATTAAAACTTACTTTTTCTGTTATTATAAATAGTTCTATTTACATCTATTCTGTACATAAAACTGATTTATCCTCAGAAAAAATTCCTAGAAATAACTGGATCGAAGAGTATAAAGTTCTTATGTCATCAAACTGTTTTCCAGAAAATGCTGTTTCAATTTACATTCTTACTTCAAATTAAAAGAGTATGTTTTGTATCACGGATTTTTTTTTAAGCATTATGACTTTAAAAAAATACTTGAAAACCTGATATGGAAAAAACAGTATCCTATTAATTTGCATTTTAGTATTTAACTAGAATAACAATTGTTTTTCTTTTCCTTTCCTTTTTAGTTTTTAGATTATCTGGTTATGTCCCTTGTCCATTTTTCCATTGAGATCTGATTGTTTGCAGTTTTTCTACTGGGGTCATCAGGGCTATGAATTCTGTACAAGATACATATGAAGAGTAAGAACCCACTGTCTATTAAGATTGTTGCAAATATTTTCCTCATTTGTCAGTTAACTTTCTTTACAATCCTTTTTTGTTTATAATTGTAAAGCAGTTTAAAACTATTGAATTTTTTCTTCCTCTGTTTTTATTCTTTGTCTTTCCCATACTTACCAGACTTTCAAAGAAAGTATAAAAATAATCATCTTAATGTGATTTTTTAAAATTCTGATTTCTAATCTTTTACCTTACCGAGAATCTCCTGGGATGCCAGAATTGACTTTTACTCCTTTATATGTTAATGATTATATAACAGAAATCATTATCACATTGATGTAACCAATTACTAAAATATGCAAATTCACTTTCAGTATCTTCTACCCAAAGAATCATTCTATACTTTTGCACAAGGTGAGAATAACAAAGGTTACTTTACAAATGACTATAAAAATAGTGAGTAAAAATATTCTTCTGGTCACTATGATTCTGTAACATTCTCTGCTGGTTTCAACAATACTCCTTTTTTCAGTCTTCCTGTTTGTCTTTGTACTTCCCTACAGTGAGTTTAACTATCATAGCAACAGTGAACCAGGTTTTGTACTGTTTGATTTCTTTTTAAATCTATCTTATTTGGTGTGTGAAATTATTAATCTTGATTTTTTTACTATTTTTTTTTCCAGCCTAGCATTATATATTGACAGGAAATCCACTAAAAGTAGATCACAAAATCTACTTTTCAAAAAAGCTATTTTGTTTTTTATATCAAAATTACTCTGTGGGCTTAAGACAGACACTAAAATTTTTAATGAATACAATTAAATTTTTAAAATAACTGGTTACTAATTATATTACAACATAAGCTCACCTGGAATCAGATAGTTTGACAGCCGTCAACTGCTCTGGGGGACTAGGGCCCTCATCAACTATTGGAGAAAAAACATTTGAAAATAAATTTGACATTTGCTATAAATACATCATTTTGCTTTAAAAAATGTGGCTATTTTCTTCTGCAATTAAATGTAAGAATATTCAGATATGCTGATGTCACTGTAATACTGCATCTTTGGAATCAAGATCTATTTTACCTTCTTTTAACTACAGTGCTAATTTTACATATGGAGTAGGACAGGCTAACATAATGCTTATTTAATAACTTCGGAGATATCTTCTCATTATATTTTAAAATACAGTCATAAATAAGTACTTATTTAAAAAACTAAATGCTTTCATTTATTCAAGGGATGGCCTTGCTGACCAAATGATACTGCTTTTTATCTTCTAATTACTTCGTATCTCATTAGTGCTTTCTCTAACGGGCTAAAGAAAATGAGGAAACTTCAAATTGTTACCCACACCCAGGTTAGTTTTGGCAATAGGTCTAAATAAAAAAGAAATTCAAACATTTTGACTCAAGTAGGTTTTCTTTTTTCTTTACACTTACTATTTTAATTATTCATGTTGTTTTGATTTCCAGAGATACTCTTCTGAAACTATACAGAATGTTTTCAAATGCTTATATTAGAAAGAGGGACTTGCCAATGGCTGGTAAATATTAAGGAAGAAAAAAAATGGAAGAGTCAAATGCAATGGAAAATTTGGAAAATTTTGGAAAAATTTCCTTTGGAAAACGTCTGAAACTAGTTAGAGTTTGGCCTAAGCGAATGAATGTCCTAAAACCTACATTTGTGGCAGCCTCTTCCCTTCCAGACACAAACCTTCTTTGTGTGGAGCTCCCAGGGTAAAAAGGCCATTGTCGAGTGCGTGTATATAGGTTCCCTTATCCATTTCAATGGCTATGGTTCCTGAAATTTCACCAAAGTTTGTTACTGTCCACCAGATTCCTAAAAAATAAAATCAGTAAACTTTGTATCTTAGTTTTGACACAGAGTTCTTTTTGTGTTATTATAACTTAGTTTTAAAAACTTTTTATTTTGCAGTTGTAAGAAATAATACAAAGATCTCACATATCCCTTCCTCACTTTGTCTCAATGATGACATCTCGCATAAGTATCATACTGTCAGAATCAGGAAATTGATATTGGTATAATCCATGAACTTTACTCAGATTTCACCAGTTTTACATGTACTTGTTTGCATGTATGTGCACAGATTCATGCGACTACCAGTACAGTCAGGAATAGATTTTTAAAATACAAAATAGCAACGTACAGCCAGGCATGGGGGTGCATGCCTGTAATCCCAGCTACTCGGGGAGCTGGGGAAAGAGGATTACTTGAGCCCAGGAGTTCACGGTTATGGTGAGCTATGATCTCGCCACTGCACTCTAGCCTTAGTGACAGAGCAAGGTCCTGTCTCAAAAAAAGACCAAAACAAAACAAAAGGCAACATGTGAAAGTACAAAGTGATACACAGAGAACGGTCTCTCTCATGATAGACCCCAGCCATCTATTCATGCCTGCTTTCCAGGCAATGCCCATCATAATATTTCTTACAAATGCCCCTACAGGAAGACTTTCTAGCACAGTAATCTTTTTTTTTTTGAGACGGAGTCTTGTTCTGTCGCCCAGGCTGGAGTGCAGTGGCATAATCTTGGCTTGCTGCGACCTCCGCCTCCCAGGTTCAAACAATTCTCTGCCTCAGCTTCCTGAGTAGCTGGGGCTACAGGTACCCGCCACCATGCCTGGATAATTTTTTTGTATTTTTAGTAGAGACGGGGTTTCCCCATCTCGGCCAGGCTGGTCTTGAACTCCTGACCTCGTGATCCACCTGCCTCGGCCTCCCAAAGTGCTGGGATTACAGGTGTGAGCCACTGCGCCTGGCCAGTAATCTTAACTATGATTTTAGATTGAAAGCAAAATGAGCAGAATCTATGTCTATGTATACTAATTTCCAATTTGCCAACAGAAATGTTAGACCCTAGGAACAATTAGTTAAGCAGTTGTTATAAAAGTTTATATCTTAATGTTAAAAAATATCCTCAAACCCCCTCCTAAATTGTACTTTAGCTAGAGCAGAAATAAGTCAATCATTAACTGGATATGACATATTAAGGAATTCTTGTTCATTTTACAAGGTCTCATAATGACACAGTATAACGTATAAAAGAACAAAACAGATGATGAGAGAAAGACATACCATGTTAAGAAATGCACATTTACATACTTATGGGTAAAATGACATATCATCTGTGATTTTACTTAAAATTTCTAGGAAAAAATGTGTGTGTGGGTGTGTGTGTAAATGAAATGAGATTGGCAAAATACTGACAATTAATGCTGGGCCCTGGGCACATGGAGGACTCATATTCTTCTATGTATGGATTAGTTTGGATATTTCCATAATAAAAAGGTTTTAAAGATTCAGTTAATTCCACTGCACAAAATTTTCTATTCAACTAAACATTTCATGCTTTTCATAATAAATTTTAAAATACATAAAATTTTAGCTAAAATGAAGTTGGACCCTTACCTAGCACCAAATACAAAAAGTAACTTAAAATAGACCAAAGACCTAAATGTAAGAGCTGAAGTTAGAAACCTTTTAGAAGAAAATGGGAAAAGCTTCATGACCATGAATTTGGCAATTATTTCTTGCATAGAACATCAAAGGCACAGGAACAAAGGAAAACACATACAAACTGGACTTCATCAGAATTAAAACCTTTCGTGCATCAAGAATCACTGTCAACAGAGTAAAAGGTAACCCAGAGAATGGAGAAAATATTTGTAAACTGCGTACGTTAGAAGGAATTAATATCCAGACTATATAGAGAACTTCAAAAAGACAAATATCACAATTCAAAACTGGGCAAAGGATGTACACAGACATTGCTCCAAATGGCCAATGAGCACTTGAAAAGATGATCAGCATCACTAGTCACCAGGGAAATGTAAATCAAAACCACAATACAATACCACTTCACACCCATGAGAACAGCTAGTATCAATAAAACAAACAAAAATAAAAACCAAGAAAACCAGAAAAACAAATGTTGGGCAGTATGTGGAGAAACTGAAACCCGATGCAATGCTGGTGGGAAGGTAAAACGGTGCATGTATTTAAATGCCACTGAAGTGTATACTTAAAAATAGAAAAACTGGCAAATTCTATATTCTGTATATTTTACCACCACACACACACAAAACCAATGGAGAAAATCAAAATTAAAATTTCAGCCAAAGATGATTAGAAAGCAATACAACTAACGAGCAATTTAGATGCCTGAGTTGTCTTATAGCTACAATTGTTTTCAATAAAATAATGCTTTATTCAGAATCATTATGAACAGTGTTATGATTAGCAAGTCTTTCTTATAAATGTAATAGTTAATGATTTTAAACTCGTTTTATTTATTTTGTATGTTCTATGCCACGTTGATCAAGTACACTTAATATTAAATAAAATCATTTAAATATAGTATCTCATTAATGTTTTGCAAATGAAGAAGAAATTTCTGGCAGACAAGCTCCTCAAAATTTTCACTCTGTCCAAGTAGGGAAATGATACAGTAACATTACTTATAATATTGTGAACTGAAAAAGAAATTACTTTGAGCAGATGCCAGTATTTTTTCTCAATGGGATTTCAAAGAATAAGAAAGCTAAACATAGTATCATCAAGAATTAAATGTGAGCTGTTCTGCTTATTTTCTGCAAGCGGCCTACATTCAACCCTCGGAAGTATGCTTGTACGTTTAATGACTAAAGTAATATAACATAATACTCATCAGTGCCATTCTGGGGGTTTCAGCTGTGAAAGAGCAGTGGACCCTCAGAACAGTGGGCATGGAAGTTGCCTGTCTCTACGTCAGGTCACAGCTCAAGCTCCTGTCTCTACGTCAGTCAGGTTACAGCTCAAGCTCCTGTCTCTACGTCAGGTTACAGCTCAAGCTCCTGTCTCTACGTCAGGTTACAGCTCAAGCTCCTGTCTCTACGTCAGGTTACAGCTCAAGCTGTGTATATGCTGCAGACACCTAAGCTGAATTTGAGAATCCGCTCTAAAACATTACTTGCTATTTAGACACAGGCCTGAAGTTATTTCCTTTTAAACCTTAGGCGGATGGTCAAATACCCCTGCTGTGCTGTCTCACAATGCGTAACAAAGCTTTTCGCATATTTTCACATAGTTTAGGATGTTTACATGTCTGGCATACCTGTAATCCCAGCACTTTGGGAGGCGGAAGCAGGAGAATCACGTAAGCCCGGGAGTTCAATATCAGCCTAGGCAACAAAAGGAGACTCCCATCTCTACCAAAAAATTAAGAAATCAGCGATTGTGGTGGTACAAGCCTGTGGTCCCAGCTACTCAGGAGTCTGAGGTGAGAGGACTGCGTGAGCCTGTGAGGTCGAGGGTGCACTGAGCCATGATCACGTCACTGCACTCCAGCCTGAGCAACAAAGCAAGAGCCTGTCTCAAAAAAGCACCAAAAACAAACAAACAAACAAACAAGCAAAGGCTCGATGCACCAGTGTCATGGCTGATGAGACATGACCAGGGCACCCTCACTCCAGCATCAAGGCCGTGTGACAGCTCCCCTCACCTTCTGACTAATCCAGGGCTTCTGTGCTGAGGGCCCCCTTAAATCTCTACCTTCATTATGTGCTCGGCACAAACGAATGATGTATCTTAGATTTGGAAATGGAATTTTCATCCCCAATCTCACTGTAGTCTAAGTACCCTTCACAGACCTTCTATTAACCCATAGCTTACTTAGCTTTAGTTCCTGGGTAAATAAAATATATGTGTTTTGCAAATTACGATGTTATAAGTCCAGTTGCTTCTTAATCTAGCAGAGCTCAGTGAAACTCTTTGCTTACAGACATGCTCGTTTTTATTAATGTCATACTTGGTTTTCTCCACGTGAAAGACAGAATTTCTTTCATCCTATTTACTAATCCCTTCAGATCCTTGTGAGGAACCAACAGAACAACTTTAAAAAATTAAAAGGTTTTCTTTCCCTTCACAAATAGGCACATGCTTACTTACATGTTAAGTTTAGAAAAATCCACAATGCAAAAGAAGGTGGAAGGACAAAGAGAAAAAGACGCAGAAAGACTTCCTCTTCCAGCCAACATGGACTTGCCCTCCCACCAAGACCAACGAGAAAAGTGAAACTGGATAGAACATTTGAGAAAACTGTTTTCGGGGATTGGAACACAGGCAGAACAGGACTGTGATATCTGAGAACAGGAAAACACAGGAGGCAAATCTCACACACACTTGTTTTCTGCCCAATGGCAGTTTCTTGACCACACAGAGAGGTAGAGACCTCCAAGAATGAGGCAATGTCACTGAGCTGAGAATCTTGCAGTGCTAAAATGTTGGGAGTTTATAGAATAAGGTACTGGAGAAGAGGGAACTACACAGAGGTGAGGCCTCAAAAGAGTATGCAGAAGTTCTCTGCACGTCTGTGGCCAAGGGCTGGGGGGAGCGCAAGCAGAAGGCAGGCTCCACAAGGCCTCTGCAGATCGGCTGGCACTGCTGAGGGCTGACTGGAGACACCAGAGATCACACAAATTTGGGACACAGCAGAGTGGAGAGAACTCACCAAGTACACGAAGCACATGTTGTTGAGGCCCATGAGGATGGACCTTTCCTAGAGTAAGAGTCACAGTCTAAGTCTACAGGCAAAACCCTAATAAATAAGTACAAACAAACAAAGCCCCAGGCTTGACAGAAGCAAAAGGGTGATCAAATAATTTAATTAGGCATCAAGACATTTAACAGAAATACAGGTTAAAATATTACGAAAATGAAAGACTGAATTTATAAGGAAGACTTAATTCTAAATGTGTACACATGAGAGCTTCAAAATACTTTAAGCAAAAACTGCTCAAGTAGACAGATCTAGAATTACAGCTGGAGATTTTAACATAATTTTCAATACATTGTAGGATTAGTAAAAAGTCAGTAAGGACACAGAAGATGTGGCTAGTCATGGGATTACTGACATCTAAAGAACACTGAACCGGCCAGGCACCGTGGCTCATGCCTGTAATCTTACAACTTTGGGAGGCCGAGGCAGGTGGATCACCTGAGATCAGGAGTTAGAGACTAGCTTGGCCAACGTGGTAAAACCCCGTCTCTATTAAAAATATAAAAAGAATTAGCCTGGCCTGGTGGCAGGTGCCTATAATTCCAGCTACTCTGGAGGCTGAGGTAGGAGAATCACTTGAACCTGGGAGGCGGAGGTTGCAGTGGGCTGAGATTGCACCACGGCACTCCAGCCTGCTGGACAACAGAGCGAGACTCCATTTCCAAAAAAAAAAACCCCTGAACCAACATGTGCAGAATACACATTCTTTTCAAGTGCACGTGGAAATTTACTAAGAAAGTATGTTCTCCAACCATACTATGAATGAATTAGAAAGCAGCAACAATAACGTATCTATAATATCTCCATGTAGTAGAAATTAAAAACAATACACTTTTAAATAACTCATGGGTCCATGAAAAGAAATATCACAAGGAAAACTAGATAATATTTTGAATGGAATGAAAATGAAAACAAAATGTGTTGACTATAACTAAAACTAAAGTGGAATGAAGAGCTCTAACTCCCTTCTTAAGAAGCTATAAAACAAGAGCAAAGTAAACTGAAAATAAGTTAAACGGACGGAAAAAAAAAGATTGAAAATAAATGAAATAGAAAATGAAAAAAAGAGAAAATAAGTAATACAGAAACAAGCTTGTCCAACCTGAGGGCTGCATGTGGTCCAGGCCAGCTCTGAATGCAGTCCAACACAAATTCATAAACTTTCTTGAAACATTATGAGATTTTTTTGCCTTTTTTTTTTTTTTTTGGCTCATCGGCTTATCGTTAGTGTGTTTTACATGTGGCCCAAGACAATTCTTCTTCTTCCATTGGGGCCCAGGGAAGCCAAAAGACTGAATACCCCTGTACTGAAAGATCATTAATGATCTAAAATAAATGATCTTATAAAGATAAACAAATTGATAAACCTACAGCCAGACTGACTGATCCAGGAAAAAAATAGCAAAAACATAAATTACCAATATGAAGAGACTGAAATACAGATTAGATTCTACAGACATTAAAAGGATATTAAAGGAGTATTCTGAACAATTTTCTGCCAATAAATCCAACAACTTAGATGAAATGAAATTTTCTTAAAAGACACAAATTACCAAAACTGACACAACAGAAGAATCTAAAAATACCTCTTAAAAATTTTTAATTTTCCTACAAAAAACGAAAACCAAACCAAATAAAACCCTCTAGGTTCAGATGACTTCACTGGTGAGTTCTATCAAACACGTAAAGAAGAAATCATACCCATCTTACATAGGTATTTCCAAAAACAGGGAAGGAGAGAGCACTTCCCATCTCATTTTATGACACCCAATATCACCTTGACACCAAAATCAAATAAAGACATTACAAGAAAAGGAAACAGAAGTCCAATATCTCCCATCAACACCAATATAGAAAGCTTAAAAAAAAAATCGTATCTAGCAAAATCCCAAAGGACAAGGCACCACAACCACGTGGGGTTTACCCCAGGGATGTAAAGTTGGTTTAAAAGTTGAAAATGAAACCAATGTAATTCATTGGCAGAAAGAAGAAAGCTGTATAATCATCTCAACAGATACAGACAGAGGCATTTGACAGCATTAAACACCGTTATGATAAAAACTCCCAAGAATCAAAGTTTAAAAAGAATGTCCTCATTCTGATAAAGGTTTTCTCTGCAGATCCTACAGACATCATACCATATGGTGGACTACTGAAAGCTTTCTGCCTAATCTTGGGAACAACGCAATTATGCCCAATCTCATGACTTCTGTTCAACACTATGGAAGTCCTGGACAGTATATAATAAACTAGTAAAAAGAAAGACAAGACATAAGGATTAGAAAGAAAGAGGTAAAATGATAGTCACAGGAAACATTGCAAATTTCTTAGTTTTCTATATAAACAAACCTCTAGAAGTAGTAAGTGAAACAGACTTATCAGACTACAAAGTCACTATACAAAAATCAATTGTGTATCTACATACTGACAGCAAACAATTGGAAAATCAAATTCAAAAGTTCTATTGACAGTAGTGTAAAATTATAAAATACTTAAGAATAAATTTTTAAACAGGCATGCAAGACTGCTACATTGAAAGTTATGAAATATTGAGGCCCAATATTAAGATGTCGCTTCTCCTCCAAATGATCTGGACTCAATACAATTCTCCGAGAAAATTCAACAGGTTTCACTGTAGAAATTAATAGTTAGTAAGTACAAAGTTGGAGGACTCACACTACCAGATCTCAAGACTTCATGAAATTATAGCAATAAAGAGAAATATATCAACAGAAAAACACAAACGTATCAACAGAACAGAGTCCAGAAATAGACCAATACATAGAAAGTTAACTGATTTTTTATGAAGATACCAAAGTGGATTAACGGAAAAAGGAAACAACAGTGGTGTTGGAACAACTGACTATCAAGATGTTAAAAAAAAAAAAGTAAATCTTGAAATGGAACTCACGCCACGCCAAAAATTAATTTGAGATGAATGACAGATTTAATGTAAAAACTAAAACTATGATGCTTCTAAAAGAAAATGCAGAATATTTTCCTGACTTTGGGGTAAGCAAAGATCTCTTAGATCAAAGAGATAAGGCCATAACCATAAAAGGAAAAAAAATAAACTGAGCTTTATAAAAATTAAAAGCTTCTGACCATCCTGGCTAACACGGTGAAACCTAGTCTCTACTAAAAATACAAAAAATTACCCAGGCGTGGTGGCGGGCGCCTGTAGTCCCAGCTACTCGGGAGGCTGAGGCAGGAGAATGGCGTGAACCTGGGAGGTGGAGCTTGCAGTAAACCGAGATTGCGCCACTGCACTCCAGCTTCAGTGACAGAGTGAGACACCGTCTCAAAAAGAAAAAAAAAAAGGCTTCTGCTCATCCAAAAACCACCATTAAGAAACTGAAAAGGTAAAACTCAGACTGGGAGAAAGACTGATAACACCATCAACTCTTGGCAAGGATGTAACTGGAGCACTAATTCATTCTTGGTGGGAGGGTAAAATGGCACAACTTTAGAAAATTTTGGGCAGTTTCTTATATAGTTAAACATTCACCTATCCTTTGACACAGCAATTCCACATCTACATATCTACCCTAGACATTTACCCTAATTTTAGAATTGTTGATTTGCCATTTCAAAAACAATGATTCTTCCAGAACATTGGCTTTATACCATTCCATATTTTTATAAATTTTCTAGGTTACCATAATTTGTGAAGATTCAAAATGCAACTTGCCAAGGTTTAAAAGAGAAAAAAAAAGTATGGAAAGAACCAAACGGAAAATAGGCTGGTTAAGTGTGTTTGGGTCAGTTTATTTCTAGCATCATTTACAGGCTACCCTGATGTTGCATTTAAAATTTTCATTAACTTCAGAGTTCACAAAATAATGATTTTTTTCCTGTGAAGATACTTCCTTTAAGAGACCACTGACTTCTACAATTAAAATGTATACATGTTCAAAGAAAATAACTTGTAAAATATTATTTGGTTGAAAAACATTTACATTAGGCCTTTAAAATTATGCATCAGAATCTCCAGCTATTAAGCAGTCTAATGGTGCCTACTAAGTCAGAGGGTTATAATTCTCTCTTGTGCTTTGTTCTGATAATGAAATAAAGGCATCAGTACCATCTACTGTGCTAAAGAATAAATGGAATTTACAACTGTAGGTAATATTTAAGCACTTTAAGACAAATATGAATACGTCATAAATTTCTAACTAGGAAAATATTTTCAATGAGATCTCAAGAAATGTTAACTTTTTTCAGAATAGAGTACTGAAAATTGACTCACCAACAATATCAAGCTGGGTTTCTTCATCTTCTTCTCTTTTTCTCTTCTTATCTTTGCTCTTTTTCTTCTTACTACCAGACATAATTTATATAGGTGAGTTTAGGTATATTGATTTGTATGATAAATAAATATAAGATTGAAACCTGGAAGTCTTCTAAGCTGTTTCATTTATAAATTACTGATTTAGGATGACTTACATTGCTATGTCCTCTTAAATACAGTACTGAGAGGTTGCTTCAGGCTTTATACATATTACGTTAGAGTTCAAAGCAGATTGCAGAGCCACACGACCAGATTTTAAATCCTGATTCTGTAACTTCTTAGCTCGGTGATTTTTGGAAAAGGTACTGAATCTCTCTGTGAGTCAGTTTCCCCACTTACAAAATTAGGATAATAACTTAAACTCTTAAGGTTACTGTGAGGATTAAGAGGTAATATGTACCTTTATACATTGCTGGTGCAAATGCAAAATGGTGCAGTATCCGCAGAAAACAGTTTAGGGTTCCTCAAAAAGTTAGAGTTACCATACGACCCAGCAATTTTACTCCTAAGTATGTATACCCAAGGGAAATGAAAACATACACCCCCAAAAATACTTACATAAGAATATTCACACTAACAATAGTCACAACAGCCAAAAACTAGAAACAACCCAAATGTTCATCAACTGATGAATGGATGAACAAACCGTTACATCCACACAGTGGAATACTACACAGCCATAAAAAGGAACAAGTGCTACAACAATGATGAACCTCAAGAATGTCGTAAGTGAAAGAAGCCAGATACAAAAGGCCACATGTTGCATGATTTCTTTCTTAGGAAATATTCAGAATAGGCAATTTCACATAGTCAGCAGATTAGAGGTTGCCAAGGACTAGGAGAAGGGGAGGATGGGATGTGACTGCTTTAATGGGCAGGAGGAGGTTTCCTTCTGGGATGACGAAAATGCTAAGCAACTAGACAGTGGTGAACCTCTCCAATATATACTAAAAACCACTGACTGTACAAAAGGGTGAATTTTATAATTATGGATTACATCTCAATAAAAAAACAAAAAAACAAGGGCGATTTGAAAAAAGTTAATGTGCAAAGTGCCTACAATTTCTTGGCGCATTGGAAGTGCTACATAAGCATTAATTATGATTATTACGATAATCTTAAGACACTTTTGTCTGCATTTTCATCATAAAGTTTTCAGAAAATACCTCTCCTCTCCTCCCAGGAAATTCACAAAGTAAAAATCTCACATTCATTCCGGATAAACCTGCCATTTATTCTGGCATCTTCATGAGGCCAGATTCCTAGACAGGGTTCTCAAAGGCAGTGGCTTCAACTCACTCCTTGATACCTTCTTTCCATTTCGCCTAAAAATGTCAAAACCTCTGTTTATCACAGAGACCAGGGAGAAATGCTCAACATTTGTATGTACAGTCAACCTTGGGCAAATTTGCCAGTTAAAAAAGAAGCGGGGATATGAGTGCACAGGTATTTTTCCCTAAAAAGCTAATAAATTATCACTACCACCTCCTCCTCATATTTGGCTCAATTTGTTTACTGTATACATGTTCTCTCATTTAATCCTCACAGTCTTCTAAAAGTATAAACAATCGTCTGAAAGTATAAATGTGTAAACGGAGGTTCAAAGATATTTGATCTTTTAATGAGTAAATGGAAGTTCGGACATATTAACCAATTTGCCACAAATTACAAAATTAGTAAACGACAAGAGTGCAGGTTCGAGCCCATATCCCTATCAAAGCCCATATACACCTCAACCACTGTGTGATTCATTCTCGTTTCACTCTACATATTAGATTAGAAAAAACTAATCAAGAACTTTTCTAGAAAGAAAAGAGACAATGGATAAAATAATAATCCCTAATAAAGGAAGTTATTATCACAAACTACGAGATCAGACTAATGCAGACACACCAGGCAGAGGCCTGGAGACCCAGACTCGTGGGTAGGGGCCACGGGTCACCCGTCGTCTGCCGTTTCCAGGGCCGTCCGCGCGGGAGGCTGCCCCTCTCTGCACAGGCGCCGGGAACCGCGGCCCGGCCTCCCTCCAGCCCGGACAGGGGCCAGGGCGAAGCCTGGGAGGCCACAAAGCCGGCCCTCCGCGCCACGGCTTCCACCGGACTCGCGGGGCTGGATTGCGTCCGAAAAGAACGGAGGAGGCCCCCGCCCGAGCTGCCGGACCCACCTCTTCGCCTTGGTTCCCTTGAGCACGAGTTTGGTAGACTTCACATAGGAGTACTCGGCCATGGCTCCGGGAGACTTCTGCGCGGAGAGGCTGAAGCCGGCTCAGGACGAGTATGCGACCCGGAGCAGCACCTGGGCGGAGAAGACCATAAGTGGAGGCGAAGTAAACACTGCCTGACAGCATCCGTTTCTCCAGAGCCCGCCTCCGTCTTCACCCGAACGGTGAATGGCTGAGAGCTCCACTTCCGGGTTTCTGCCAGGGAAACTACGGCGGCCGCAGAGGGCCCAAAGCTGTCCGCGCGCAGCTGCTCCCTGGCGCCCTCTCGAGGAGCCCCTGAGGATTCGCGCCTCCCGAGGGGAGGAAAGCCCGCCCGAGGCTCTGAGGGCTGGCGGGCTGGCAACGGTCTCCGCGGGGGCGGGAAGCGGCTCCCGCTGCCCTAGCTGTCCTGCGGCGGCGCGGCTGAAAGCACGGGCCACTGGTGCGCGCGTCACTCGGGGCTGTGCGTAGCGCGACGGTGTGTGCAGGAAACAAGCAGGAAATACCCTAAAATAGAATTAAGCGCCACGTTGCGGGCCGCGGACGTCGCGAGTGCTGTGGGAATGTGGGCTGAGGTGGAGAGTTATGGTGGCGCGTGTTACAGGCCCAGGGGTCAGGAGAAGCCTAATCGTGGAGGCGGCATCTGAGGAGGGTCTTGAACGCTGGGCAGGCTTTTGCCTGACGGCGATGGTGGAAGCGAGTGCTGTCTGATGGAGGAAACAGGGCGGAGGCGTGGAGGGAGCCGTGCAGCGCTGGTGTGAGGAGCAGCGAGCAGGCCAGGCCTGTAAAGCAGAGTGATGGGAACCTGGATGGAGAGGGCAAGTCAGGGTCCTGTGGTCGCTGAAGAATTTGAATGAAATCAGTAAACAGGTGAGAAGAATCAATCGCAAGAGCATGGGATGAAACGAGGCGTTGTCCACGGTGATTCCTGTCAGCGGTGGGTATTATTAATCACGTATGTGACACCGAAACCACCCCACTCAAGTTGTGGCTCTTGCCCTAAAGTAGAAAACAGAGACCAGTTGGGTTCCAAGCATCCACGAAGATCTTATTAAACTCGTGATCCCTGGTGGCACCATCGACTCAGGACTGGCCCATCTCAAACCTGACTCAGAAACGAAACTGTCACAGTGTGCAGAGATGAGCGTCCTTACCCGCGATCATAACGTATTTTCCGGTGTTTTCACAGTGCTGCGCTTCCTAATCCCCACTCCACGGCAATCCACATGCCGTGATGCCCGGAGGCATTAGCAAGGAGACACACAGGGGCTCTTCACGTTGGCTTTCCAGGGTTTTGATGAAAATCTCAATTTCCTCATCTCTTATATTGTGGTCAGTAATAGTATCATTTAGGGTTGAAGAATTAGATGGTACAAATTATATAGGGTGTTTATTATAACCTACATCGAAAATGCCTAGGAGATGTTAGCTATCCTCATCACCAACATCGTTACTTGATGGTTATAATCAGACAGGAAGGCCGACACCAAGAAAATGGATACATGCTCTGGGGGAATGAATGTGGAGAGATCAGAAAGTCAAGAACAAAGCCATACAACATGTCTACAGTAAAGGGATAGAGAAAAGAGAGTCTATAAAAGAAGAAATGAAACAGAGTTAGAGTAAAATTTTAGAAATCGAAGCTCAGGAGAATTTCCAGAAAGGGTAATATTTAATATCGTAGAAGTTTAGGAGCACAAGATGGAAAAAAGGCCTTTGGGGAAGCTCCATTTCTGATAGAGAAGTAGACAGAAAGTCAGCTTGATGCAGCGACTAGGTGAAGAAGCCCTGGCTGCTCGCATGGGGAAATAAATAAGGGATGGAATATGCCATATTTCTGGGTTTCTTTCTTTCTTGCCCAGCCTCTGTATATGCACAGAGTTTGGTGAAAACTTACAAAAAATAAAAATGAAACCAATTTCGTGTGTAGACTCAAATACAATGCTTTGTGTTAGAATCAAGATAAATTCATGCCTCTTCGTTCTATTCTCACCGTCAGTTTTAAAATTAAACATCAGCTTTTCTTCTTCATTAAAATCATTTTCAACCCTTCCCAGGTGTTGGTGGTTTTGGGGAGTTACATAAGCAGTCAGGTCTTGATAAGTAGAGGAGGAGGGAACAGACACTTTCAGCAAAGGCAGAATTCTGAAATTCTGCTCATATTTTTTTCCAGTAACTTTCCTATGTTTGTGAGGTTATTCAGTCATAAAGATCTTAGTGAAATTTTTTTTCAGGCTTTACTAATCATAATAATCACTGTGGACATTTGTTTAAAATGTGTAATCCCAGGAGGGATTCTCTCACCTCTCACCTGGAGGTTCTGATTCAGGAGATCATAGATGAGACTCAGAATACATGTGTTTGACATATATCACAAGTGGTTCTTATTGTCAGGCAAATTTGGGAAACTAACCAGGAATTTGTTTTTATGACTGGCAGCTAGAAAAGGTTCCTAGAGTCTTTGCTTTTTGAAAATAAAATATTTCTTTTTTAAAAGGAAAATTGCATGACTAGATACAACATTTGTACATGTGGCACATGTACTATACTGTGCTTTTGTCATATTTACAGTTAAAGATGTGTAAGAACACTCAGAAAAAGTATATATTAAATGAAAAGAGGGGTAAGTCAGGGTGAGGGAGAAATGTGAGGCATGTGCTTATTGTTGCCAAAAGGCTGAAAAGCCAGAATGATAGCCATCTAAGGTCACAAATAGCACATTGTAAGTTGAGGGAGCTTCATAATCATGTCTGAAACCTTTGATACACTCAGTTGTAAACAGTGGCTTCGGACAAGATTTGAGGGAGAAACCAACTATGCTTTAAAGTGTTCGTTTAAAAGGCTTTAATTAAAGGAAATTCTTTGCATTTACTTGAGCTAATTTAACTTCAGGACTTTAACAAATTACTAGCCCTTAACCTCTTAAAAATTGTCTTTCAGTTCAAATGAAAGTTTAAGGTGGCCTTTATGTTCGATTGGTATACTTGTGCAAAGACTTAACAGCAAGGTACTATACATTTCTAAATGTTTACTTCTTAATTTTGCTGGAAGAAATATACTACTCAATTGATTATTTTTAAAGCAAAGTAAAACAATTTATTTTGACAAGTGACACTGTATTTTCCCAGTTTTATGGCAGCAAAGATTAGGCTTAACATCACTAATTATTAGAGAAATGCAAATCAAAACCAAAACGACATACCATCTTACACCAGTTAGAATAGCTACTATTAAAAAATCAAAAAACAACAGATCTTGGGAGGCTGTGGACAAAAGGGAACTTTTACACATAATACGTGCTAATGTAAATTAGCTCAGCCACTGTTGAAAGCAGTTTGGAATTTCTCAAAGAATTTAAAATAGAATTACCATTCAAGCCAACAATTCCATTACTGGTGTATAACCCAAAGAAAATCAGTTATTGTACCAAAAAGACATATGCACTTGCATGTTCATCGCAGCACTATTCACAATAGCAAAGACATAGAGTCAGTCTAGGTGCCCATCAACAGTGGATTGGATCAATAAAATGTGGTACATCTACACTGTATTATTAGGCCATTCTTGCATTGCTATGAAGAAATACCTGAGGCTGGGTAATTTATAAGGAAAAGAGATTTAATCGGCTCACAGCTTTGCAGGCTGTACAGGAAGCATGGTGATGGCATCTGCATGGCGCCTGTGGAGGCCCCAGGGAGCTTTTACTCATGATGGAAGGCAAAGAGGGAGTAGGCACATCACATGGCCAGAGCAAGAGCAAGAGAGAATGGGAGGGGGGGCAAATACCACACACCTTTACACAACCAGATCTTGAAAGAATTCACTATCACAAGGATGGCATCAGGCCATGAGAGATCCACCCCCATGACCCAAACACCTCCTACCAGGCTCCACCTCCAACAATGAGGATTACATTTCACCATGAGATTTATAGGGGCCACCTTCCAAACCATTTCATACACCATGGAATACTATGCAGCCATAAAAATAACAAAATCATGTCCTTTGAAGCAACATGGATGCAGACGAAGGCCATTATCCTAAGTGAATTAATGCAGGAACATAAAACGAAATACCACATGATCTCATTTATAAGTGGGAGCTAAACACTGGGTACTCATGGACATAAAGATGGAAAGAATACACATTGGGACTACTAGAGGGGAGAAGGAGGAAGGCAAGGTTTGACAAACTTAACTATTGGGTACTATGCTCATGTATTAATCTGTTCTCACACTGCTATATAGAACTACCCAAGACCGGGCAATTTATAAAGAAAAGAGGTTTAACTGAGTCACAGTTCCACAGGCTGTACAGGAAGCATGGCTGGGAGGCTTCAGGAAACTTACAATTATGGCGGAAGGTGAAGGGGGAAGCAAGGCACGTTCTACCACGGTGGCAGAAGAGCAAGTGAGCCAGGGGGATGTGCCATATGTTTAAACCATCAGATCTCATGAGAACTCATGTACCATCATGAGAACAGCAAGGGGGAAATCTGCCCTCATGCGCTAATCACCTCCCACCGGGTCATTTCCCCTACATTGGGAATTACAGTTCGACATGAGATTTGGGTGGGGACACAGAGTCAAACCATATCAAATCAGCATCTGGATGATGGGATCATTCATACCCGAAAACTCAGCATTATGAGATGCAACAAACTGGCACATGTACCCCTGAATGTAAAACATAAGTTAAAATTATTTTCAAAATAAATTAATAAATGAATAAAAATAGGATTAAATTAAAATTAAAAATTTGAATTAAAAAATTTGAGAGTGATTTCCGCTTGACAGTTATGTAAGTTATGTAAATGGAAACAGTGAGTTCTGTAGGATTCGGATCAATTGCATTATCTGTACTAAGTTGATGTCCGGTTGTTTGTATGAAAAGAAAAGAGGAGAAACATATAGATCTAACAGGAAAAAAAATGGACAAATTTTTCTGATAGCAAAAAGAAGAATGGAGGAAATAGGACTGAGGTTATAGTCATTGATAGATATTAATAGACAACTAAGTCAAAAGCCAGTGGTTGCAGAAAATATTGATTAATTTTGTTTTATTGCAGTCAGACAACAAAATTCTATGCCCTGCCTCCAGAGAAAAACCTTTTAGTCCTGTAATTATCTTTATTCCAAGCACCATTCCGTTCATTAAGTAGTGTATAGGGTGATTAATATGTGAATTATTCACAGAATTAAGGCAGAAGTTTTGAGTATTTCAGGATGATATTAATAGTATAGTCAATGAACTAAAATAAAATTTGACTAGAGGTATGATCTTGTTAGATTTGGCAACCCAAAGTTGACAAATTTATTAATAAAATAAACTTTCATTGATGATTAATTTACAATTAGTAGACACACTGTTTCTTCTTCTTTCCCTTTCTCATTGATTCATTCATTTGTTCATTCATTCCTACAGAGCAGTGACTTTCATTCTAAGATTCCCAGAATCCTGAGGAATTCTTGAATGTCATCATGGGGAGCCAGGTGTGGGGATTCCCAAAAGTTGTATTTAATACTTGAAAAATCTTGAAAAGTTATATATTTACACCAGAGAAAGCTATACAGGTTTTAAGTTACATATATAGTTGAACACTTTTTATTTCTATCCAGAACTAAGTCATTAGAGTTAGTAACGTTGATTATTTCATACTGATCTAATGGGTAACCTTTATATATCATTGATTAATTATTAACAAAATAAGAATTCCCCCCAAATTACAAAATAAATATATTTTGTGGGTTTTTCTTAAGGCTTTTGAAATATAAAATCAGAGGAGAGGATTAAAAGTAATCCTTGATGGTTAAAAAGGCAGGGAACTACCAACTTAGAAAACTGTATGAAAACAGCAAGATATATACATGGCCCTCAGACCAGCTGCCTGTTTTAATAAATAAAGTTTTATTGGAGCACATCCATGGATCTATGGTGCTTTCCTGCTACAATGGTAGAGTTGAATGGTTGATGTAGACACCGTATGGTTTGCAAAGCCTAAAATATTTATCATCTGGTCCTTTACAGCAAAGGTGAACCCAGTTTTAGAACATTCACTTTACAAATTAAGATACAGGGGATGCTGCCTTAACTGACCTCTATTTAACTGATTTGCAGTCAGCACTTTCTGGTACCCCTGTACAACTTAACTGACTGATGTCCACTGCAAACTGAAAGCCTTTGAGTTACTTTTAATGCCTGTACATTTCTCTTTCCGTTACAGAAATTGTATATTTTCTAAGAGGAACCTGTGTTCATTCCTAAATATATTTACACCGTTTGTTCTTGTTCTTGTGGTTATGTAATTTAATTAAATATTATGTTGGGAGGCCAAGGCGGGCAGATCACGAGGTCAGGAGATCGAGACCATCCTGGCTAACACGGTGAAACCCGGTCTCTAGTAAAAATACAAAAAATTAGCTGGGCGTGGTGGCGGCACCTGTAGTCCCAGCTAGTCGGGAGGCTGAGGCAGGAAAATGGCGGGAACCCGGGAGGCGGAGCTTGCAGTGAGCCGAGATCTCGCCACCGCATTCCACCCTGGGCGACAGAGCGAGACTCCGTCTCAAAAAACAAAAAAAAGATATTATGTAAATTGAGAAAATGAGTATAACAAGAGTAGTATTGTTGTTTCTCTGAGAAATAAACTAAATGTGTTGGAAAAATGAGACACTCAAACAGTTGCTGCCAGCTTAACTGTTGGCAAGACAACCAGAAACAAATGGGAAAAATTGTATAATCTAGGATTTCAGATTGCTTTACCCAGTTGTCTTCACAGAAAGTGAACAAGAAATCAATGACAACATATTATTGGCATAGTTTCTACAAGAAACTCCACTCAGTGAATCTGTGCAAGGCTTTGACCTTGTCATCAAAACACTGGCAAATTTATTTACACATGTCTTTTAAATTAAACTTTTAAGGACTTACATCTAATACTTCTTATGATTCCTCCATGTAACTTAAATTTGTGATTAATCTATTTATTACTGGTCCCGATCTTATTGAATAAGGGGTTTCTACCGTTTTTGCTAACCAAAAGTTTACTTTGATGAAGATGGAATTATAAATACAATAATTCAAGTTTAAAGAATTTGTAACAGAGGCCAGGCGCCTTGGCTACCGCCTGTAATCCCAGCACTTTGGGAGGCCGAGGCGGGCGGATCACGAGGTCAGGAGATTGAGACCATCCTGGCTAACACGGTGAAACCCCGTCTCTACTAAAAATACAAAAAATTAGCCGGGCGTGGTGGCGGTGCCTGTAGTCCCAGCTACTCGGGAGACTGAGGCAGGAGAATGGTGGGAACCCGGGAGGCGGAGCTTGCAGTGAGCTGAGATCAGGCCACTGAACTCCAGCCTGGGCCACAGTGCAAGACTCTGTCTCAAAAAAATAAAAAAAAAATACATAAAAATAAAACAAGAAATAGTAATGAATGGTAATGATTAATACAATTTAGTATGCCTAAAAATCACTTGAAAAGCTTACTAACAATGCAAATTCTTGTGCCTTACGCCTGAGATTTTGATTCAGTACGTCTAGCATGGGACATAGGAATCTGTATTTTTAAGAATGTTAAAGGAAAATTGCTTAAAATAGGGTAAATTATGACTTACAAATATAAAGTGAACACTTGTCTAAGATTTTTGTTTAACTCATTTATTTAATGAGGGAGCCAGTAAGATGTTATAATGAGTTTTATGGAAAATTAAAAGAGCCACACATGTCTAGGTACTAAGGAACACTGAAATAAATTTGCTTGATAGGTTCAAAACTGACTTCTTGATGGAAGGTGGAAAAAGGAAAATTAATTATACTTCCACCAAAATCAATCATTTGCATATCTATAGAGAGTATTTGCATTACTATCAGTAATCTACAACTAACAGAATTACCAATAACAAAGAAAACAAAAGTCACAGAGATCCTATAGAAACAGATAACCCAGGTTATTCTAGACAAGGCTGAGATTTCCATTTTCTCCTGAAACAAGTTGCTCAAGCAATTCAAATACAATGAAGGTGGTCAGTGGGTAACAGCTGGAGAAATCATTTTCCAACCTGTAATCAAGACTGTTGAATTACTTCCTTCACTAGAAAGAATAAAATATTACCACATAAATTTGTATAATGATAATGGCCCACTATGAATGCTTTGGTGTTCTTAATTTTCTTAAGATTTATTAATATTTCTGAAGTAACTACTAAATGCCAAGTAATATATTTTCTAATTTAATCTTTCATTGACTTTTACTTCCACTTCAGTTGAGCTACTCACTTTCATGGCTGTAAACTTAACTTTTCAATAACTTAAAAATTGATTTCTAATGTTATAAACTCTAATGTTCCACTCTGTGACCTGCTCTTTCAGACTCTCTTCCTTACTGCCAATTCACTTTCTCTTCTGTCTCTTCGAGTGCCCCAGTATCTTGATTCTTCCATTTTCTTTTTTCTATTTTTTTTTTCAAGTAGACACATGGTAATTTCACATGTTGATGGGGTACAATGTGGTATTTTGATGCATGACACGTTGTTAAAACCTCTCCTCCCTATCTTTCCCAGTTCGGAAACCACTCTTCTACTCTCTATTTCTATTAGATCAGTGTTTTTAGATTTCACATATTAATGAGATCATGTGCTATTTGTCTTTCTGTGGTTAGCTTATTTCACTTACCACAATGTCCTCTATGCTCATTCATGTTGTCACAAGTGACACAATTTTCTCCTTTTTTTATGGCCAAATGTGCACATGATATAGTTTGGATATTTGTCCTCACCCATATC